TTTCTTGCCTTCTGCTAGCTTTTGAATGTGTTTGCTCTTGCTTCTCTAGTTCTTTCAATTGTAATGTTAGAGTGTCAATTTTAGATCTTTCCAGCTTTCTCTTGTGGGCATTTAGTGCTATAAATTTCCCTCTACACACTGCTTTAAATGTGTCCCAGAGATTCTGGTATGTTGTATCTTTGTTCTCATTGGTTTCAAAGAACATCTTTATTTCTGCCTTCATTTCATTATGTACCTAGTAGTCATTCAGGAGCAGGTTATTCAGTTTCCATGTAGTTGAGTGGTTTTGATTGAGTTTCTTAGTCCTGAGTTCTAGTTTGATTGCACTGTGGTCTGAGAGACAGTTTGTTATAATTTCTGTTCTTTTACATTTGCTGAGGAGTGGTTTACTTCCAATTATGTGGTCAATTTTGGAATAAGTGTGATGTGGTGCTGAGAAGAATGTATATTCTGTTGATTTCGGGTGGAGAGTTCTGTAGATGTCTATTAGGTCTTCTTGCTTTAGAGATGAGTTCAATTCCTGGATATCTTGTTAACTTTCTGTCTCGTTGATCTGTCTAATGTTGACAGTGGGGTGTTGAAGTCTCCCATTATTATTGTATGGGAGTCTAAGTCTCTTTGTAATTCTCTAAGGACTTGCTTTATGAATCTGGGTGCTCCTGTATTGGATGCATATATATTTAGGATAGTTAGCTCTTCCTGTTAAATTGATCCCTTTACCATTATGTAATGGCTTTCTTTGTCTCTTTTGATCTTTGATGGTTTAAAGTCTGTTTTATCAGAGACTAGGATTGCAACCCCTGCTTTTTTTTTGTTCTCCATTTGCTTGGTAGATCTTCCTCCATCCCTTTACTTTGAGCCTATGTGTCTCTCTGCATGTGAGATGGGTCTCCTGAATACAGCAAACTGATGGGTCTTGACTCTTTATCCAGATTTCCAGTCTGTGTCTTTTAATTGGAGCATTTAGTCCATTTACATTTAAGGTTAATATTGTTATGTGTGAACTTGATCCTGTCATTATATTATTAACTGGTTATTTTGCTCGTTAGTTGATGCAGTTTCTTCCTAGCCTCGATGGTCTTTACATTTTGGCATGTTTTTGCAATGGCTTGTACCTGTTGTTCCTTTCCATGTTTAGTGCTTCCTTCAGGGTCTCTTGTAAGGCAGGCCTGGTGGTGACAAAATCTCTAAGCATTTGCTTATCTGTAAAGGATTTTATTTCTCCTTCATTTATGAAACTTAGTTTGGCTGGATATGAAATTCTGGGATGAAAATTCTTTTCTTTAAGAATGTTGAATATTGGCCCCCACTCTCTTCTGGCTTGTATAGTTTCTGCCGAGAGATCTGCTGTCAGTCTGATGGGCTTGCCTTTGTGGGTAACCCGACCTTTCTCTCTGGCTGCCCTTAAGATTGTTTCCTTCATTTCAACTTTCGTGAATCTGGCAATTATGTGTCTTGGAGTTGCTCTTCTCGAGGAGTATCTTTGTGGCATTCTCTGTATTTCCTGAATTTGAATGTTGGCCTGCCCTACCAGGTTGGGGAAGTTCTCCTGGATGATATCCTGAAGAGTGTTTTCCAACTCGGTTCCATTTTCCCCCTCCCTTTCAGGCACCCAAATGAGACGTAAATTTGGTCTTTTTACATAATCCCATACTTCTTGCAGGCTTTGTTCATTTCTTTTTCTTTTTTCTTTAGATTTCTCTTCTCATTTCATTTCATTCATTTGATCCTCAATCACTGATACTCTTTCTTCCAGTTGATTGACTCGGTTACTGAAGCTTGTGCATTTGTCACATATTTCTCATGTCATGGTTTTCATCTCTGTCAGTTCGTTTATGACCTTCTCTGCATTAATTATTCTAGTTATCAATTCTTCCACTCTTTTTTCAAGATTTTTAGTTTCTTTGCACTGGGTACGTAATTCCTTCTTTAGCTCTGAGAAGTTTGATGGACTGAAGCCTTCTTCTCTTATCTCATCAAAGTCATTCTCCATCCAGCTTTGATCCATTGCTGGCGATGAGCTGTGTTCCTTTGCAGGGGGAGATGCGCTCTTATTTTTTGAATTTCCAGCTTTTCTGCCCTGCTTTTCCCCATCTTTGGGGTTTTATCTGCCTCTGGTCTTTGATGATGGTGACGCACTGATGGAGTTTTGGTGTAGGTGTCCTTCCTGTTTGTTAGTTTTCCTTCTAACAGTCAGGACCCTCAGCTGTAGGTCTGTTGGAGTTTGCTTGAGGTCCACTCCAGACCCTGTTTGCCTGGGTATCTGCAGCAGAGGCTGCAGAGATAGAATATTGCTGAACAGCAAGTGTACCTGATTCTTGCTTTGGAAGCTTCCTCTCAGGGGTGTACTCCACTGTGTGAGGTGTGGGGTGTTGGTCTGCCCCTAGTGGAGGATGTCTCCCAGTTAGGCTACTCAGGGGTCAGGGACCCACTTGAGCAGGCAGTCTGTCCATTCTCAGATCTCAACCTCCATGTTGGGAGGATCCACTGCTCTCTTCAAAGCTGTCAGACAGACTTGCTTGTGTCTGCAGAGGTTTCTGCTGCTTTTTTGTTGTTGTTGTTGTTGTTTAGCTGTGCCCTGTCTCCAGAGGTGGAGTCTACAGAGACTGGCAGTCCTCCTTGAGCTGCTGTGAGCTCCACCCAGTTCAATCTTCCCAGGGCTTTGTTTACCTACTTAAGCCTCAGCAATGGCGGGCGCCCCTCCCCCAGCCTCGCTGCTGCCTGGCGGTTAGATTGCAGACTGCTGTGCTAGCAATGAGGGAGGCTCTGTGGGCATGGGACTCTCCCGGCCAGCTGTGGGATATAATCTCCTGGTGTGCCCGTTTGCTAAGACCCTTGTGTAAAGCGTAGTATTGGGGTGGGAGTTACCCAATTTTCCAGGTGTTGTGTGTCTCAGTTCCCCTGGCTAGGAAAAGGGATTCCCTTCGCCCTTGCGCTTCCCAAGTGAGGCAATGCCTCACCCTGTTTCAGCTCTCGCTGGTCAGTCTGCACCTGCGGACCAGCACCAACTGTCCAACACGACCCAGTGAGATGAACCCGGTACCTCAGTTGAAAATGCAGAAATCACCTGTCTTCTGTGTTGCTCGCGCTGGGAGCTGGAGACTGGAGCTGTTCCTATTCGGCCATCTTGCTCCACCCCCTCCTAACTGGAATTTTAACGGGACCATTCTGCCATGTGGAAAGACTCAAGTGGGATAAGAATAGAGGCAGGAGGACCAATTAGAGGCTAATCATGGCCTCATATGGAGTGAAAACATTGGAGCTGGGAAAAATTAGTCAGGTTCTAGGTGTATTTCAAGAATCAAGGAGATGTTGCTAATTAAAAAGCAACAGTGTGAAAACAAGAGAGTGGTCAAGAATAATATAAAATGACTGTTCCTAACATGGAATCATGCTATTTACTGCAGTGGATAAGACTGAATGAGGATAGGGTTAAAAGGATTATTAGTAGAAATTTCTTCTTAGTGGTAACACGTAAGCAAATAATATAGCTCTTAGAATACAATGATAAAACAGTATTCCCTGTGAACTCAATCTTCTGGAGATACCCAGGAGACATTATAGAAAAAAATATTAATTAGACATTTGAATCCATGAGTCTCACTTCAGGGAGGAGGCATGGTCAGGAGAGGTAACGTTAGAATCATGTGCATGTAGAAGCATTTAAAGTCATCAGACTGGATGATATTCCCAGAGACTGATGGCAGACGGAGAAGACAAGAAGTTCAAGCGTTGATTCTGGGGGCACTCCAAAATTCAAAAGTCGGTTCTATGGCACTGAGACACATGCAGCAAGAGAAGTGGAAGCAAACCAGACAGGTGTGACGACCTGAAATCCAAGTAAAGATTTTCCAGCAGTGAAGGAGCGAAAAACTATGACAAACGCTGCAGGTGGATCTAATCAGATGAGGACTTCATCACCGGGTTTAGCCACGTGAGATCATTGAAAGCTGAGTGAAGCAGAAGCAGCAAATGCTCAAGTGGAACAATCTTATATTGTTCTATATTTCCTCGGAAATAGCAGTTTGTTAATACTGATGTTTATTAATGCTGATATTGAGAATTGAGTGTGAACCAAGTGTTTTTCCTAGGTCCCAAGGGGATTAACAAATAAAAATCATGTACACTTGAATTTTAATTTATTTACCTACAAAATGACTTACGTTAATGAGAAGTTAGTGTCAAGAATTGTCTTTAAAGTGTAAGACAGATGTACATTTGCTAGATATATGTCTCTCTACCCATTTCTCTGGTAGCATTTGTACTTCTGCACAAAGAGAAACCTGAAGAGAGTGGGTGGATTTTCAAGTCATATTAAGTGATACTGTACTAAACATAACTTACATTTAAAATTGGTGTTTAAGTTATTGTTTATTATAACATATATGTAAAATATAGTAAATACTGTGTACTTTGTAATTTCATCATTGTATATCATTCTTCTGTACACATTTTCCCCATAACTTTGTATCTTTTCTCTTTTTCCATTGCACTTCTCTTAGTGTATTCTCAGGCCTATATATAATATTGTGAGATAGGAATTTATAATGCTTTCACATAATGTTTCAATGCATAGAAACACTCAAGGAAAAATACTTTATTCTTTTTAAACTATATATAAAAGAGGGATGCCCAGTATTTTAAAGACAAACAAGTGATATTTAAAAATAGAAATTTACACATTTAGCAAAAGAAAATTGACAAGATGAAGAGGATCAAAGAATAGGAAAAAGAGAAATTATGAGTACATCTTTTCTTTCCTTGAAGAGTCATTCCCAAAGGAAAAACATAATTAAACAACTTAAGAAATTTAGAATTGAAAACATAATTGCAAAGTCTGTTGCAAAATGAAAACTTTCTAAAACAAACAATTAGATTGTTGGTTCTAGACTTGAAGGGTCACTGCAAATGTGATCTTACGTAGCATAATTGTACATATTCATGACAGTGATGCAAACTGAGCTCATTTTCTTTCCCCATAGGTGAAATTCCTTATAGCCATGGAGAGGAGCAATCACACAGTGACTGAGTTCATCCTGCTGGGCTTCACCACAGATCCAGGGATGCAGCTGGGCCTGTTTGTGGTGTTCCTGGGCGTGTACTCTCTGACTGTGGTAGGAAATAGCACCCTCATCATGTTGATCTGTAATGACTCCCGCCTTCACACACCCATGTATTTTTTCATTGGAAATCTGTCATTTCTGGATCTCTGGTATTCTTCTGTCTACACCCCAAAGATCCTAGTGACCTGCATCTCTGAAGACAAAAGCATGTCTTTTGCTGGCTGCCTGTGTCAGTTCTTCTTCTCTGCAGGGCTGGCCTACAGTGAGTGCTACCTGCTGGCTGCCATGGCTTTTGACCGCTACGTGGCCATCTCCAAGCCCCTGCTTTATGCTCGGGCCATGTCCATAAAGCTGTGTGCATTGCTGGTAGCAGTCTCATATTTTGGTGGCTTTATTAACTCTTCAATCATCACCAAGAAAATGTTTTCCTTTAACTTCTGCCATGAAAACATCATTGATGACTTTTTCTGTGATTTGCTTCCCTTAGTGAAGCTGGCCTGTGGCGAGAAGGGCAACTATAAGTTTTTGATGTACTTCTTGCTGGCCTCCAATGTCATCTGCCCCGCGGTGCTCATCCTGGCTTCCTACCTCTTTATCATTGCCACTGTCTTGAGGATCTCCTCCTCCCAGGGCCGCCTCAAAGCCTTCTCCACGTGCTCCTCCCACCTGACCTCTGTCACTTTATACTATGGCTCCATTCTCTACATCTACGCTCTCCCCAGATCTAGCTATTCTTTTGATACGGACAAAATAGTTTCTACATTTTACACTGTGGTATTCCCCATGTTGAATCCCATGATCTACAGCCTAAGGAATAAGGATGTGAAAGAGGCTCTGAAAAAACTTCTTCCATAAATCAAGATTATCTCCACCAGAGGAGAAACAAAGATGACTTTAGATGGAGTGTTTTGTATTTCAAACAGAGTTACCATTGTGCTTTTGATGATCAATCCCCCTCTTGATACGTGACAGTTACAGACATGTAAAATAAGAAAATTGGAAAATTTAGAAGAAAAACTTCTGAATACACAAGAATTTGAATTGAATTTCCTATCTCTCTTACTAAAAACAAACATAAAACTTAAGCCCAAAACCTCTCCTATATCTTCATAAAGTGATGAACAGCCTACCTCATTAGCCTAAGATTTGGCTGACTGATATATATAGAAGTGTATCTATATAGTTCCTAGAACTAGGAAGAATTGTGCTCAATTTTTAATACTTTCCTATGGTTAGTAACTAGACGACATTCATCACTTTCCATTCCCTGAACAGAATATCTTAAACATTGTTCCACATGCTTTCCCCACCCAAGAAGAATTAGCACAAAGATCCAGAGGAACCCAAGAAATAACTCAGTACAAATGAGACCCAGAAAGTCATGACCGTGCTATGCCTCTTATACAAGTTTCTTGATTAAGAAAAAATTCATTAAGATCCCATACATGTGATTTTTGTAGTTCACTGTACAACTCCCAGAGCTCCCCTTTATTTTACAGTGGTGAACTTACAAGGACTTCTACATTCAAATTGTGACCTTCTGAGTATCAAAGGGCAATTATCATCATTTCAAAAATAATAATTTCGATGAAGTGAAACAATTTCAAAAATAAAAGTCTATGAGTACACATTGCTCAATAGATATTTTATTTATTTTTGATAGATATTTTATAGAGAGAATATGTTTACACAAGGGTGATTCCACAAAAGGAATTTCACTTAGCATAATGTCTTCCAGGTTCATTCACAATTGTTGCAGGTGACAGAATTACATTTCTTGTAAGGCTGAATAGTATTCCATTGTGTATTACATGCCACTTTTTTTCTTTTATCCATTTATCAGTTGATGGGCATTTAGGTTGTTTCTAAGTCTTGGCTATTGTGAATATCTGCAATAAACAAGACAGCACAGGTATCTACTCAACATACTGATTTCAATTTCTTTATGCATCTACCCAGAAGTGGAATTGTTGGATCATGTGGTAATTCTATTTTTCTATTTTTAGTTTTGGGAGAAACCTCTACACTGTTTTTCAAAATGGCTGCACTAATTTACATTCCCATCAACAGTGTATAAGAGTCCTTTTCTCCACATCCTGGCCAATGCTTGTTAACTTTCATCTTTTCGATAATGATCATTCTAATATAACATATATGAGGTGATATCTCATTATAATAAGTAAAATAAGCCTGACACAGAAGAAAACATCTTTTGTCATCCCACTTACGTGTGAGATCTAAAAATTAGAATTCCTACAAGTAGAGAGTACAATAGTAGTTACCTGTGACTTGGGCAGGGTGGATGGAGAAAGGGGAAATGTTGATCAGAGGGTACAAAGTTTCATGCAGACAGGAGGAATAAGTTCTGGTGAACTACTGCAGGACAAGGTGACTATAGTTAATGGTAATGTAATGTGTATTTCATTTAAAAATGGATCTTAAATGTTCTCACCACAAAGCAATGATAAGTGTATGAGGTGATGGACATAATAATTAGTCTGAGATGTTCAATCCACACTATACACATGTACTGAAGCATTGCATTTTACCCTACATGTATAAAATTATGAGTTATCAACACAAATAAAATTTTAAAAAGATGAATATGACAAGTGGCATTTAATTTTGATTAGTTTTTCAATGTAAGACAGTACTAATGTAATTTATGTTTATAAACATAAATACTCTCTTATTTGAATCGGCATAAGCAGGAAAGGAAGAAAATGCAAGAAACTGAATTAGGCAGGTAGACCCAGAAAATGTACAAGATTCACACAAAGTAGAAAGAGTAAATCCACATTGGCAATCATGGACATAAACGGGGTAAGTGGGTGCAAGAAATAAAATCAATACAAGTTGCAACACACAGTAACGCAGCCAAAACAGAGTCCAACAGTGTAATTCCAAGATGCTCATATCAGACAATGCTCTAAAAAGAAACGCTGTTTATGTTAACTCAGTCTTCTGGTTTTCTAAAATACATGTTGTATCTCCCACTAATGATATTAAAATTCCTATAAAATACATTCTTCATTTTTTAAATTAATGTTAACAGACTCAATTAGTATATTACAGTGGCAGTAAATCAATTACTTTATGTTTCTTGACTGAAACTAGAAAGTACATCATTCCAAAGGGAAGCGCCAATTGCAGAAAGTAAAAGTGATGTGACACATCTAATCTTAAAACACCGTGGTATCCAATAGCAAAGACTTGGAATCAACCCAAATGTCCATCAGTGACAGACTGGATTAAGAAAATGTGGCACATATACACCATGGAATACTATGCAGCCATAGAAAAGGATGAGTTTGTGTCCTTCATAGGGACTTGGATGCAGCTGGAAACCATCATTCTCAGCAAACTATCGCAAGAACAGAAAACCAAAACCAAATACCACATGTTTTCACTCATAGGTGGGAATTGAACAATGAGATCACTTGGACTCGGGAAGGGGAACATCACACACCGGGTCCTATTGTGGGGAGAGGGAAGAGGGGAGGGATAGCATTAGGAGATAGACGAGTTCATGGGTGCAGCACACCAACTTGGCACATGTATATATATGTAACAAACCTGCACGTTGTGCACATGTACCCTAGAACTTAAAGTATAATAATAATTTTAAAAAACACCGTGGTATCATAAACCCCGACATGTAACTATAGAAGAGTGTCTCAAACTGCCTGAGGGCTTCTATCCTAATATTTTCATGGGAGCCTACCAAAATTCATTCTTCAAATAAGAATAGGAATATGCCCATATATCCATATATTGTAAACATAGCTGGCTACGTACATATTCATATTTTATACTTGGAAGTTAGCTCTAGAAGCATGTCTAAGTAATATTACAGAGACCTTAGTAAAAAGATAAAGTACAGTTGATAATAATCTTAAGGAAAACAAAAATAAATAAGAACATAAAATGTAATTAAGCATGCAGCGTGTTTTATAACATAATTTAGAAATATGTTTAAGTAAATTAACAGTAAGTTTTTCATTCACTTTTGGAAATGTTTCATCTGCAACTTATTGATTTGAAGTATTCAGAAAAATCTTTCATATTAATTTGAAATTAAAATACAAATTCCTAAGGGAATTTGACTACTGAGGTCAAAAATGAATTTGAAATTCTTTTCTTTTTTTGAGATGGAGTGTAGCTCTGTCGCCCAGGCTGGAGTGCAGTGGCCGGATCTCAGCTCACTGCAAGCTCCGCCTCCCAGGTTCACACCATTCTCCTGCCTGAGCCTCCCGAGTAGCTGGGACTACAGGTGCCCGCCACCTCGCCCTGCTAGTTTTTTGTATTTTTTAGTAGAGAGGGGGTTTCACCGTGTTAGCCAGGATGGTCTCGATCTCCTGACCTCATGATCCACCTGTCTCAGCCTCCCAAAGTGCTGGGATTACAGGCGTGAGCCACCGTGCCTGGCCGAATTTGAAATTCTTAAGGTAAAGTGGCTTGTAAGATTTTTCTTCTAGATATGAGTTTTAATAAATAAAACATTTCTAAAAGTACAAAAGTATACTGTGGTCTTGTCCTTACAAAAAATCTCCTAAATTTAATGTTCTTTGAAAAATGCACAACTCTTAGTGACTGCGTTAGTCTGGATTCTTCATAGATGTAGAACCAATAGAATGTGTGCATATATTTGTGTGTGTGTGTGTGCGTGTGTGTATACAGATTAATTTTGAAGCCTGTCAAGTCTAAATCTGCAGTGTGGCCCAGGAGACTTGAGACCAAGGAGAGCTGCTGGAGAACTTCCAGGCTGGCAGCTTAGAGACCCAAACAGCCAATGGTACAAATTAAATCCGGGAGCAGAGCGCCATCAAATACCCTCTTGCTTAGGAAGGTCTATTCTTCTTCTTTTCTGTTTTGGCTGTTAACTGATTGGTTTTCTTATACAAAATTACATTGTTAGTAGTTTTTCAAGACGGTAGACTGAAAATTTTGTTAGTGTGCATCTCCCACTTGGAAAGACCAAATAGTGCAGAGACATGCTATGAACTTTCTTCCAAGAAGCAACACAGGAACTTAACAGGAAAACTGAATGAAACCACAGACCCTTTGAAAGAAGTGGTGGCTGCAGCCTTCACCATGAGCCAGGTGGAAAACCATGAGTCTCCAGCACGAGGGTGGTAGGAACTGCATCAGGTATATGCACTCACTGGGGAACATGGCAATCCAGGCCACGGAGGAAGGCCTTAACCCTACCGAGCACTGGAGCTGACCTACTGAGCAATGGGGAGTACATGAGAAGGAGCAGCATCAGGACATGCTTTACATGCACTCCCAGTCATCAGTAGGGACGGGGAAAGCCATTCCTGATCCTATGGCACGGAGGACTTTGCAGAGGTCAGCCAGCTAACTCACATGGCTGTCACTGGTTAAGAGAAGCTCCTAACTGAGATTTGTGATATAATCCTGATTGAAGATGAAACTCCTTGTCCAGAACTGAGGCACAAGTAGAAAGTTTGCTAAAGCCTTGGGCACAGGAGCTGGGTGTCCCTGCTTCATGGGACAAATGGGAAGGACATGGCCTGAAAGCCATGGTTTGTCTCCCTCAGGAAGGCCTTGTGTCATTTTGAGTTCTGAGCGAAGGCTGCCTGAAACTCAGGTAGTTGCTGCAGGTGGAATACTGCAGGTGTGAGGGCTGACTTGCCACATGTATGGGAGCTGGGTGGGGCTTAACTACTGCCCGCTACTCCCCACTGCCCGCTACTCCCCACTCCCCATGTGGACTCTTCTGTTCAGCAGAAGCAGCTGTACTCCTCACCGAAGCATCACCCTAGTGGCCGTGGAACTGCCATCCAATCCTCATTGGGGTGGCTGCTTGTGCCCATACATGGGCAACCAGG